AGTGCGGCTCGGCGAGCTTGACGCCGGAGGCGTAGAACGCCGACGCCGCCACCGACGGCTGCGAGGGGCAGGGCGACAGCGCGCGCGCCGTCGCGTGCAGGTGCTCTGTCCAGTTGTGGAAGTCTTCGGATTCCACTGCGAGGAGCGCGTTGCCGCCGGGGGACGGGGTGGATGAGGTGGGGCAGGGCGTGTCGGCGTAGACGGGGAGAGGGAGGTCCCAGAGGGCTTTGGTGGTCTTGGCTAGGAGGGGGAAACACCACATATCCATCAAGATCGTAATATTGCGCGGTGTAATCTGTTTACATATCGAGGAGTCGCGGGAGGGTACGTAGAGAGGTTCCGTCATTGCCTCGAGCTCGGGGCGGCCGGCGTAGAAGACGGACTTGAGGAATTGGACCATAGTTGCGGAGCCGAAGCTGTGTCCGGCGAAGATAATGCTACCAGGTTCTTGAACATGCAATTGCCCGACGAATTGGGAGAGCGAAGGTGTGCTCTTATTTAGGTTCGTCAGATTTGCGCCCCGATCTATGCCCAGTAGAGCCTCATGCACCAATCCCATCTCCCATAGCCGGATGCGCAGCTGATCGTTGCGTAGTGCGTGTGTCTCGTCGTTGGGGTCGTGCGGAATGCGTCTGTAGGGGACGTCGCGGCGCGTATTACGCACGAAGTATCGGTGCTGCTGCGACGGGATCCTGATGAAGGATTTGACGGCACTGCCGTCTCGGTGCTCGGGACATATGACCACTACGCCGTGTGAGGCTAATGACCCAACGATCTGCGAGTATGCGTTTCTGCTACCGCCAAGACCGTGCGAAAAGATGACTGTTGGCCATCGCTTGTTCGGGGTGTTGGGTTCGAGTACCGGCGCATTCTTAACGACTGGTATGTATGTGTAGTGAAGGTGTCTCGGTAGGAAGCTACACATAGCCTTTGGTTAGCTAGATGTCCCTCTAAAATACCCACGATGACGTAGTTCAACTTACGAGACAGCTTGTGCTACCAATTGCCCAACTCCTAGAAACTGTATGTAGGCGGACAAGTGTTCTCGCTGCGGAGCCGGGAGCCATGTTATGCGCTTCCCTTGGGCTTCCGGAGGCGCCGGGTAGAATATTCGAAACTGTATCGTCTCTATATCTGTCGCGTTTGCTGGCGCCGGAGCTGGGGAGTCGAGCTCCGAAACTGGGATCTCAACATCGGCGGTGCCGACTTTGTAAGGACCGGTGTATTCCGCGAACCCGGGTATAGGGTTCAGTCGTGATAGGAGAGAGCTCCATTTGTCGGCACCCGACGGGTTGGCTGGTTGTGCCATGGATTGTTGCCGATGGCTTGGTGTTACCCGATTTTCACGGAGGGATAGTCAGCGTTGGGCTCGTTGGATCGAATTGTTTGTGTTCGCGGACGTCGTACAGAGCAATGGTGTATATTAAAAGAATATGTACCTAGGTACCTAAGGTTGACGATTTGCAAAAATGTCAATCTCGCAAAGTTTGTTCGTAATGATCGACCAAGGAAGGATAGGCTCGTGGACTCGCCGGTGCTAAGGTCGAAAAAAATGTTATTTCGCAGAACACAGCCTCGTCGCTTCACTTCAAGTGTGTTCGGCAAGCGTCTAAAAACGGAAGGATGGCTGTTACCAAATTTCACAGAATGAAAGTTACTCTTTCTTTATTATTAAAATGATATAATATGCGTGTAAGACGTTCAAGGAGAAGGTGCGAAAGGGTATAGGTTATAAGGTTTAGTTCATGAAATTTGAGATCAAAGTCTACCAGTGAAGGAAAGATCGGGATGGTCTGATTTATCCCCTATATCTAACTCGGGACTGGGACTTCCAAGGTTGAAAATAAACTACAAGTACCTAGATGAGCCAATGACACCTCACAATTCCTTCTTCAGCTTTCCTTAGCTGGGTAACACGTCATCAATTCCCGACACATGTACCTAATAATCCATGTGGCTGAGCGGGCCATAGGTATCCTCTCGTAGCACAAATAATACGTCAATACCTAGATACCTTCGGTCTCATACTACGACAATTTAAGACCCAAGAACTCAGAATCGAATTCATTTCAATTTAACAAAGGTCACACGACGGTCGCGTGCCTTCGTGCGAAAATAGTTCCCGAGAAAAAAAAATAGAATACCCGGCGGACCCGACTAGATCGACGCCGGGTCGTAGTGTGGCGTCCAAAGTTTTGTAGCTCCCCCAGCGGATCCTGGAAATTGCATCATCTTGCATTTGCATGTAAAGGATAATTCCCTGGATGGCTTCTAGTTCCTGCAGATTGCCACCACGTTTAATGGCGGATGGTCCACCACCATGGAATAATGCATCAATATGTGGTATTATCGGATATCGTAGCATCCATAAAACGCTCGTCTAACTCTGAATGATGCAACTCTAAATAATACCTATAGACCCGATCAATATGTATGCTAGAGATGACCGGGCCGATATTTTACAATACAAGGTACATATTACATGTTTGTACACCTCGAAGATAACGAATCCAAGTCTACAAGACTGCAACTTGGATAGGTTCATTGCCACTCGGCGTCAACCTTCTCCCACTTGTCCAAAAATCCCTTGAAGAACTTAACGCCTAGACCGGGATCTAGCGATCCACATGTAGCACGAATGCTGTGCATGCTGAGCTGGGCCATCCCCGCGTCGATGGCCTTGACACCCATAGCACTACTTAACATAGGACCGACTGTGCCTCCGCTCCTGGAATCGTTTCGGATCTGGAAAACTTGAGGCGTGCAGTCGCTCAACTCGCAGACTCTGGTGATGATGGCGGTTGATACCGAATCCGTAGTCATGTGGCCATTGCTGTCCGCAGCGATGGAAATTCCGACATTGAGTCGGGGAGTGTGATCTGCCAGGTAACGGCCTAGGAAGTTGGGGTTCACGGCGTGGGTGACATCCGCCGAGACGAGGAATGATTGTGCGTACGTCTGGCCCATGACACCAGGACCGAACGTCTTGCCCTCCCCGCACAGCGACTCTACCGTTCTCTCAATCACAGAAGGTAAGAAATTGCCTCTAGCACCCTGGCGTAGCAGAGAACCAATCTCTTCGTCGTCAAAAAGAGCGACCAATTTTATGATTCCATCATCGTCATTCGCTTCCGAGGCTAAAAGACCCTCAAATGCAGCCCAACTGCACAGCTTATCGTCGATACGGCCAGCAAAGATGAATTCTTTGTCCAATCCACCAACAGTCGCGGGTTGAAGATCGAACAGCTCTAGTTCCCAGTTCACAATTTGCGAGTAGTCGTCGATGCCAAGCTCCTTCGAGATTATTTTGACCAGTCTCGGTGGTTGAGTGGCAGCAAACGACCCAACCGGACCGAGAGGCTGAGCCGGCGTAGCTGTTGAAGATGAAATGTCAGAGTTATCAAGCCCAATAATAGGCACTGCTTCAGTCTCCTTATTATTTTGACCCATTATGCCAACACCAAAATGCGGTGCGAGGGTGGGTATTTTAGCAACTACATCCAATTAGCATGAGCCGATTGTTGCCTATGGTAGGTTTGTACTTACTAGGCCAATCAAGCTTAACAAGCTTGCTTGAAGTCTTGCCGGACCCATCCCGTACAATGACTCGGCCTCCAATGCTAAGATCTCGATCCCACCATGTTTCATTTAGACCGCCAGCATAGGGAGCTACGCCTAGCTGAACATATCCAGCCTTGGTTGGCTTGTTGCTGACGGGTTTGAGCCTTGCGGTCAGAGCATCGATATGACCGGCAATCATGGCCACACCATTACCAGGTTTGTAGGCCTTTCCGACCGTAAAAGCTATGACCGAGGTTCCATTTCGAGTCACGAAGTATTTGCCACCAGCCTCTAGCTTGCCAGACCAATCATCCCGTGCAGGAAGCTCTGTGTAGCCAAGGGACATTGCCTTATCCGTGAAATAACCAACAGCGTGGAATATGGTCGGGTTTTCCTGCATAAATTTGAGGAAGGGTTCGGTGAAGGCTTCAGGATTCGTCGACATGACTTTGCACGAAGAACAGGAGCTTCGGTCGTCCTTAAGTCGGAGGACAATTGAATCGGTACGGTGGTCAGGTATGTCTCGGTAGCAAGAATCGCAAAGGGTCGGCGATCCACAGCGACTCAAGTCACCTACGATGAATGCCTTCTCAGCATCAGACATGGGTTGCTTCTTCTCAAATTCGGCAGGGTTGGCAAAACTCGACAGCCGAGAGGTGCTCAAGGAGTTCGCAGCAGCAAGACTTCGTAGAGACAAGTTAGAGCTGCGTTGGCGCAGGAAGTCAGGGGTGTGTCGAGTCATGATTGGGAATATGGATGGCTCTCAATTCGTAGATGACCTGACTACCTATGAGACTTTAACAAGATACAAAAGGTTGGGGGGACGCCTTTTGGACAAAGTTGTTCAAATAGTTAACTGTATTAATATTATGGAGGATCAACAGGAGAGAGGTTGGGAAATGGGAAATGGGAAATGAGGTCAACAAGTACAGAACTCAGCCGGAATGCGGTGGATAAGCTCCAAGCAAACGGTGTCGCAATAACTGATAAGACACTTATCAGCTGCCCCTTCCCAGATGACCTCGTTTGTAACATTGAGCCCACCGTCTCCCACCTTCGGACCTTCCCCTTGCAGGGGTTGTCTGCCAGGTACCGGCGAGATTCACCTACCGACCTAAAGTGGCTTAGGGGCTCAGATCCATTCAACCCTTGAATATTTCCATTGTACAAAGTACGAAGTACTACTTGGTAACATTGAAGGGGGAATATGAAGGCATTATTGATGTGAAATATCAGTACTTAATGTGTTGCTCGCTGATCCCTAGAAGAGGAAAAAGAAAGTTTCGTAAGACATTAAAAAAATTATATCTAAGCACGCACATAATAAGCATGCATTTTACATCGTCAAAGTTGAAAAGAAAAAGAAAAAAGAAGAGCAAGTAGTTCTACCAATATTATTATTATACGCGATAGAATTAAACGACAAAAAGTTGAATTTGTGATGAGAGTGGGACTTGAACCCACGCGGATTGCTCCACCAGGATGTTAAGATGTTAAGGTAACCTTAACCTGGCGCCATAACCAACTCGGCCATCTCACCTTCCGATTGTTGGAAATTTGTCTTCTAGAAACCTACATATACTATTAGAATGGACGAGTCGATAAGAGACGGAAGGACCAATCAAGGTCCGGTTGGGCAATGTGGGGCTTAGCAGAACTTTAGACCTTAGTAGCGGCGGACTTCCACTTAACTTAAACTTCAAGTCTTCAACTCCAGACTGCAAACTCCCCAACTCCGAAGCCAACCCAGACATATTTCTTTCCACCTATTCCAGCTCGATCTAACACAGATGAGTCATTAAGCATAACTTGTGGCACAATACACCGCATGTCTAGGTACCTACCTAGGTACTTGACAAAGTCTGGACTTTTGGAGCTTAGCTGACGCCATCCCTAGTAAGATGCTCTGTAAAAGTGTGCATAGAACTCGTGATGGCGGACCCCACTATCTTGGAATCATTCTATTTTCTCTTCATCTCATAGATATCTGCATACCTACTAGGTATCATACAAGCTTAGATTTAATGTCTTAACTTGAGTATACTCTTTGGGGGAGACTTGCATGTATAATCCCTACCAACCGTCTCCCAAGCATTATATATTTCCACCAAATACCTAACATAGAGTCAACGAATAAAAAGAAGTAGAAGGGCACTTACTAATACCAACGACTAGCCCTGCAGCTCTCTTTAAATAGATCAGGTTATAATCTCGCATTCTTTCACCATGGCCGTGAGAAACCCACCATGAAGTGGCTGCATCATATTAGCGACGCCATACAACCCCTCAAGATGTCTAAGTCTGTCGGAAAACCCGGCTGAAGACCGCGAGTCGGTAAGAACTTGTGAATACAACATGATGGTATACAGTCTATATAGTAGCGACTTTCCTCCTCGCAGATAGTATATTCAGCCGTTTTCCTAGCCAATTTTGCACATTTGGAAGTCCAATATGGATACTCGTAAATGGGTTATATGCGCATTTCTACTCTTGGACTTTTTTATATTTATACCCTCAGGAGAGTTGAGCATCTTGTTAATCTCCAAGAGGTTACTCTTCAGGGTTATAATCCAATCTATTATAATACAAGTTTTATGGGTATTTTATCGTGTCATCTTGTACCCTAATTATTTGTCGCCTTTGAGACATCTACCAGGACCAAAGGTATGACACACACAATCCATAACATACATGATATTATGACACAGCTCTAATAGGAAATTCAGGACCACAATATTATCCTTGGGCAAGAAATAAAGAAATTCAAAGCCGAGAGCCCAGTTGACGTTCAACTAGAATGGCTGCGTCGATGGCCAGATGCGTCCTTCATCAGGTATATTTCGTTCGCAGGCAACGAAGTTCTCCTTGTGAACAGTCTAGCTGCGCATAAAGCCGTCCTCCAGACCCATGTGTATGAGTTTGTCAAGCCACCGTTCTTTGCACGGTTAGTAGGGGAAATCACCGGCATAGGCCTGTTATTCGCGGAGGGGGAGTTCCACAAACGCGAGCGGAAATTGTTGGCTGGTCCGTTCTCCGTTCCGAGTATGAGGAAACTCGTCCCTGTGTTCCGAGAAAAAGCCAAGGACCTTTCGGAGGAATTCGAGAGGTTGCTCGGAGAGAACTCTCATGGTACCGTAGAAGGTAAGATATCAAAATAAGGGTATGTTGCCAAGCCAAGACTAAATCCGTCCTTGTATAGCAATGGAGACTTTATCCAAGTCAACTATGGACACTATAGGTATAACGGTGCTAGGAATCGAGTTAGACACTATATCATCGATATACCCTCAAAGTTTCCAAGAACTTTACGGTCGAATACTTCACCAAGGTCCTCTAGGCCAGTTGATTTCAGTCATCAACGCTTTCATACCGATCAGAAGCTTCCTTCCCATCAGAGCGAATCGGCATTTCATCCAGACAACTAACAATCTCAGGGAAATGTTGCGGGATATCATCCGAAGACGCACCGCGGACTTGGCGGACGGAACTTTTAAAAAGACAATGGGAGAATCTAGAGACCTTTTGACTTACATGCTAGAGGAAGCTGAGCTACGCAAGCAAGAAACGGGTAAGGAGGTATGGTCTGTGGACGACATCATTGGTCATGTGAGATAGCTCTCCTACTCTCTTAGTAAAGTAATACTGACAAGATCGCGACTAGCTTTTGAACTTCACATCTGCAGGTTCGGCTCTCAGACCCCTACAGTCATGTTGGCAATGTTCGAGCCATGATGCTGATTTACTTCCACCTATATAGGCCACGAGAGCACAGCGACAACCTTATCATGGTCCCTCTACGTACTCGCGACAAACCACTCGATACAAGACCGACTACGATCTGAGATCACCTCCCTCCTAGAGGCAAACCCTAACCCCGACTATGACTCCATCTTCGGGTTACCATACCTTCACAATTTCGTCCGCGAAGTCCTTCGCGTCTTCCCACCCTGTACGTCCTCCCCCCTCCCCCCTTTCCCTTCCCCTTCCCCTTCCCCTTCTCATCCCCCCCAAACTAACTTACTTACCCCAGCATACATGGCGCAACGCCAAACCACGCGTCCCCTAACAATTTCCAACATCTCTATCCCCACGGGCACACAAATCGACATCATAATCCCCCTGGCGCACAAGCACCCCTCGATCTGGGGTCCAGACGCAGAAACCTTCGACCCAGATCGCTGGGACGCGCTAACAGGCGACGCGACAAGCCCCTTTGCCTTCGAGGCCTTCCTGCAGGGCCCGCGCACGTGTCCGGGGCGCAACTTCGCGCTGATCGAGGTGAAAGCCGTGCTCGTGGAGTTAGTCCCCAAATGGCGGTTCCTCGGGGTCGAGGGGAAGGATGGGGAGTTGTTGACGGGCGGAGAAGAGAAGGTTGGAAGGGGGGTGAAGATTGCGAATCCGAGTTTGACCTATCGGCCTCGCGACGGGCTTTTGGTGAGGTTCGAGAGGGCCACTCGGTGATGAAAGTACACCCCCACCCCGACCCCCCAAATGAGGCCAAGAAGGTACTACCTAGAAATTTTCACAGTTATCTGCTAGGTACCTAATTCTACGAAATCGAGGCTAGTCTGGTGATACCTATTGGGTATATAGTACAAATACTCATACAATTCTAAGTACCATTTATACGTGTTGGCTTTTGGGGAAAACATTTACCGGTTTGCAAACAACCTCGCCGCTGTTCTTTCAATGGACAAATTACTGTTGTTCGTTGACGACAGCGGCGTCGATTTTGACCAAGAATTCAATTTACAATTTGAGCGCTTGGCGGAACCACTTTTTTATACGCTAAATCATTCTAAGGGATATGGTGCCAGGATACTATCAACGACGTATGACATTATTTATTTTCTTACGAGTTCAAATAATTAGTAAAAAAAGAGGTAGAACTCCTTGAATATGACTAGTGCTACGCTTTACACAAATGAATATTTTCAGAGTTTTTGAAATTTTATCGTCGTTAAAAACGTCGAAAATATCTTCTCCATTTTGATAGAAAAATTGCTAGAGCCTCCAACTCAATATGGTATAGTGCCATAAAACTGGGTCTAGCGTCGAAAACAATGGGACCGCCAAGCGGTCAAATACCTATTCAAGAAAAAGCGGTACTGTACATACAAGATGGCCTTGCCACCGAGCTACCTAACAACCTCGCCGGCGACCCTGTTGCATCCCTGAAAGGAAAGACATGGGAGATATAGATGAGGCTATACAAGGCCTCTCTAGTGATGCCAGTAGCTGCAGTAGGTAGGAGGACATTCAATCAACTGGTGCCTCCTTCTATAGTTCCAGCAAGAGGTCGGGTAGGGTTGTTAGAGGGCGACAGCAAGACTGACGATAAGGTGTTTTCCCAAGGGGCAACATCAGGTTTCTAAAAGGTGCTTAAAATTAATATTAATGTTTGTACTATATAATAGGTATCCGTCAGGATAGCCTCGATCCCGTATAATATGCGTTAAGGTCTATTTGTTTAGGCGTCCCGTATCCTACCAGGGATCGATTTAACCTCTATTCTATCCTATACCCCACTCCCACTCGCCTCAGCTTGAATCAAGCCTTCGTCTCTTCTAGCTGCCAAGCGCTCATCGATTAAACTCCCCGTACTCTCGTCGTCATCGCCCTCGCTCTCGTCGCTTGGTTGTTCGGCTAGATCCGCATCGTTATCTGAAGTAGGTGGTTCGGGCACCCGTCTTTTCTTCTCGAAGTCCTGTCTATGCGCCTCGGCCATAATACCACGAATTGATTTTGAGCGCAGGACCTCCGATTTCCTACGCCAACGCATTGCTCCTCCCTCCGCGATGTCCTGAGACTGGGCCTGAGCTTCTGCATGCGCGAGCGTACCGGATTGTTCGCGACCGAGTGCTGATGCTCCGGCTACGCTGAGATCAACAGCACTTGTGGTGGCGCCTTCGACGGGCACAACTGGCATCGTGGAAACATGGCGTTCTTCCTCTTCCTCGCTATCAACGCGTTCGACGAGGGGCTCGTGGGGGTGTAAGTGATAAGGCAAAGGCACGTCACGGCTAGCCTTGTACTGCGCGACGTTGGTGCAGTGCTCGTTTTCTACACGGAAAAGAGCCCACATGCCTCGACGAGTAATCTCGGCTAGGGAGACGAAGAAAGATGCCAGAGTGCTGTGCTGTTTATCGTGAGTGAAGATGGCGTAAAAGATCCAACTAAAGCGTAGTATTGGATCGAGAACCATGATAGTATAGTACAGCCACCGGCGCTTGAGCCCAAGAATGTCGCGCAGAAATCGGTGTCGTGTATCGGGTTGGAAAAAGGAGAAATCCATGAACAGATCCCAGATTGCTATAGTTGTGCGTCAGAAAATTCAATTGCTAAAAAAGGCTGAGGTGATTATAACTTACATGTGTAAATGCCGTTCATGGTGGAAAATGTGACGAAGAGACCAAGATTCGAATCTGTAGATCTCATACGGTACAATGAAAGTGTCACGGCCGCCATGATAGTCATACCGTATTTGCCTCCGTTGACAAGATGAGGAAAGACGTTTTTGGTATCGCGGTATCGGCGAAT